AAAGCTTATAGATGGGTGAAAAGCCCTAGTCATATGAAGATTCTCAAAGAAACTAAAGTATAGTTGTGTCAACATCCTAGGTCATTCTATCCTCAAGAAGCAAGCAATTACAATCAATTCAAGATAGTGATCAATAACAAATTAAAATTCTAGGATTGAAGTTATGAGTTTAAGAGAGAAAATAGATGCTTATAGATTTGATTTTATGTGAAAAGAGTAAAAGGAAAGGTGTAGAATTCAACCAAGTGTCAAAGTAGCTTCCCAAAATTAGAATCCACCACTTCTATCCTTGTTCTACATTACCTTACTTAGAATCAACTACCTCCTTCAATTAGTGTGTGAACGTGTCCTAATTACCATCAAGACTAGGTGATAGGAATTAGAACCTAGTAACCACTTATAATTTAGCACATAAATAACCCAAATGAATGCACCAATATGTAACTTAATCCTTGAAAATACTCCTAGCTCTTGCCTCGATCATAATTTAAACTAATCAAAATTATGATCTTAATTAAAGTTTAAGACCTAAAAAAAGTAGAAAATTTCAAGGAAAATGGAAAGAGATTGAAATGGAAACATGTATTCATTCATCAAAACATTGAAGCATAAATAGAAACACTTCGAGCGTGCAACTAGTTTGAGAATAAAAAAAAATCCTTTGCTCTTCTAAATGCGTCTCAAACTTAGAAAGAATTCTAAATCCTAGAATTACAATCAAGCAGCATGAATTAAATCATAGAAGATGAAGAAAATAAGGATCCACAGCAATTGAAATCAAAAGAAAAGGTTTAGAACTTAAGATGTGGCTTCATCTTCCTTGGAAAGCTTTGAATTTTCTAACCTCTCGTGGTGATTTGATCCTCAATCCAAATTAATCTACCTCTAATCATGGCTTCCATATCTTGAATACTTGATTAAGATGAAGGATTGTGGATAAGAAATTGTGGGAAAGTTGAAAAAAAGATGAGAAAGTTAAAATGCACATGCTAGAATTTGAAAGAGAAATGGGAGATGAAAAATATGTGAATGAGTGAATAATGAAGAGACAAGCACAGCCAAATCTCTTTTGCAAGTTGTGATGGTGTAAAATGAGTATAAGAGGAATGGTTTTACATGATCAAAGCCATAAAAAATATCTGAAACTAAAAAATTAATTTAGTTGGAGGAAGATTCAAGTGAACTTGGATATAATTCAAGCTAGGTTAACTTAGAAGCTCATGTAGCTCTTATAGATTGCTCCACACTTGATTAGAACTTGATAAACACTTCTAAATACATAGCTAAATATGATAAAAGGGTGGTTAGATGCTGCACGGGACAAAATCCTTAAGTCTTGAGTCATTAGAAGGTCTTTGAGTCAACTCTTGCACGTACGTCACTCTAGGTTCTTACTTTGTGATTTATCTTTGTAATTCATTCTTTTATCCATTTATTGTTCTTTTAATTCCTTGTTTACACCTGCAATTAATAACATAAAATATCTCAAAGCATGTGTACAAAATGCAAAATGATAACTAAAGCTCAATCAAAAGATACAACACAATTTCCAATGTCCTAGTTTACAAATATGACAACCTTGTATCTATGTTTTAGCCTAGGACAACCTAAGATTGATGTCTTTTAATGTTTTTTTTCTAAACTATAATGAATTAAAAGCTCAAACTTGTTTCTTTGACATTAAGAAGACAAAAGACACATCCTAAATTAAATTTCCAAAATGTCACAAAAATTACCCCAATACCCCTAAGCCAGAAATGAACCCTAAGTGAGTCTCATGGCCTATAATGCCTAAATATGCAAGAATTGATTTCCTAAGGATGAAATAATGCAAGAAAATTATTTTAAAATGTATCCAAATAATAATGTAATATGTCAACATGTAGGGAGGACAATGAGAATTTTCACAAAGGTTTGGAGGTGACTGTGGCTGAACAAAAAGTGGGAGGGACAAACTTTTTTAGCAACAAACACATTCCATAGCTAATTTTGGGATAGCCTATTCCAATTTAAATAAAGAACTTAAGTTAAAAGGTGATGCATTTCTTAGAATAGTCTTGAAATAAAAGCTATTTAAATAAAAAGAAAGGTTGTATGAAGTTTGAACCTAACCACCACAAAGACAAAGTAGTAATATACTTTATACTACTTATTTTTCATCTTTTCTACCTTATCAAGTCATCTAGGCAATATAATATAAGCTAGAGATTGTTTTTATTTATGCTACGGAATTGTCATAAAACTATGAAGTTGTGGATTGCCTTAGGTGCAGGGTAAGGCATGCGAGGTGAAGCAGCAACCTTTAATAATATATAGGTGTCTTATTCCTTGTGCTTTATAGATTAACCCAAACCTCTTTTCTCTACCTATTTGGACGAAGAGGCAAGTATAGTATAAAGGAAGAAGATCATTCAAATGAAAAAATAGCTAAACTCTTTCTACATGAACTAAATTAATATTTCATAAAATATATTAAAGGAACAGGTGAGATGTGTGAATCAGATAGGTTAAATACTGAAATTATACTGATCCTAAAAGACACGTTGAATCCCTAAACCACCTTCCTAAAAGCAAGTGTCTATCCATGCATCTATGAGAAAGACAAAGGGTTAGGGTGTGCAGAGTGAGGATTCCAATTGTTGGTATGAGGGGGAAAAAAATTGGAGGGAGAGTGAAAAAGGAAATTGGGGGGACTAAATTTGGGCTATGAAATCGTGGGGGGAATATATTTTTTAAAAAATGAATATAAGACTTGATAAAGTAAATATAATTTTTTATTTATAAGATATTATAGATTTTAAAAAATAATTTTTTATATATAAGACATAAATTTTTAGAAAATATTTTTTATACATATAACATTATAAAGTAATAAATTTGCTGGTTAAATAGGTACATTTTATATAAATAAATGTAAGTTGAAACCCTTCTAATTCTCATTATTTTTTACTTTTTCTGTTAACTTTTTAAAGAGGAATGCATATTCCTTGCTAAGCCCTCTCTATTTAGAGAGGATCATTTTGCCAACGAGAAAATTGATTTGTAATGTTATAAATTTAAACTTGTATAATATATATACATATATATAATCATATGAAAATTGACATAACATAATTTTATTAACATTAAAAAAATTTCAATAGTAATTAAATGATTTACCAAAATATTACTAATTTTCATTACAATATAGAATTACAAATATAATACATCACTAAGACATGACTAATGTTATCATTAATTAATTGGCTACATGCAAGATAAGTACTTTGTGAATATTACAAGTTTAACCTTCCATCAATTCGATATATTAAGTATGACATCACGTGGGTATTCTAGTTTTCTCTATTGCCACTAAAATCGATTCAATATACTCCCTCTGGTCTAAAATAGAAGGGGTAAAATAGGAAAAAGAATTTACAAATACTAAGTTGCTTATATTTTGGATCAAGATCAGTTGGAAGAAAATGTTTATACTTTGGGCCGAAGGAGCATACTGAAATGTCTAATGATTAAAACATAATTTAAACAAATGGCAATTGAATCCATGATGGAATAACGTTGAAATATTCAATCTCTTGCAAGAAGCTTTATGCACTTAAGAAAGTAATAGAGAACTGACAATATTTATATCTTTGGCCTCAATTAATTTATAGTGATTGTGATTATAAGATAAATAAAAAAACATATAATATATATGTTCAAAAATTAGTATTTTATGAAAAAAGTGTGCATAATACAATAAGAGACATGCTAGATTATAATTAACTATTTTCTCAATTTATTAAAACTATAAAATAATATAAATATTAAAATTACTAAAATAATAAATTAGTGACAGAATTATTATGGAACTACTTTCCAATAGAATTTGCAACCGAATATTCTATGACAAGTAAACTAGTGACAGAATTTAGCAACGAATTTCCAATGGACATTAGTGACAGAAATATTCTGTTAGTAAATCTGTCACAAAATAGGAATTGGTTATCCTTGAAGTGAGCAATGAACATTTCTGTCGCTAATTTCCGTTGTAAACATTTTTACAATGGATTAGTGACAACGTGTTTGTGATAAAAACAGTCTGTTACTGGTTTTGTTCATATTAGTGATGGATTTGTGACATATTTGTGATGGAATTATTTTTCGTCGCTGATCTACTTTTTTGTTTTTTGGTAGTAAGCTCCCAAACACTCCAACGAAGTCAACAATGATGGCCATAGTCAAAAACATCCCTTATACTCCCTCCAATCCTATTTAAGGCGAAGAGAAAATAATTTTTTAGTTATATTTATATATAAGTCAAGTCATTAAATTTTTATCAAAATTTTCCCTCTATTAAGTGTTCTTAGAGAAAGTATGTTATTATAAAGGATATATATTTAATAAGAGTAAAATTGAAAAATTACTAAATGATAGAAGTAGCTTATGAATAAAATCAAAAAAGTATACTCCAAAACCCTAACTTTATTAACTAATAATAAAACGTTTCATTTTACTATCAGTGGTGAGACATGGCAGTCATAAAATTTTAAACCTTATAGCATTAAGTCTTTCATTGAGGAAAATAATCCGAGGTTGCTTATCAATAGTTTAATGGCAATCATTTTCTTTCAAAGGCAAATTCCAACACATAAATACAAAGTAGAGTTGGCCATCCACTGCATGAGGAAAATAATCCTTAAACATCAACAACTGAAGAGAAATCTGGTGCATAAAGCTCATAGAATCCCTAAGGTTTACACAAAACTAGCCACACGTGGCTCCAATCTTGCAAAAAAATTCTAATCTAGAGTAGAAGAAGAGTTGCTACACAATCTACTCAAAAAATGCTCAAATTGCTCTCCAATCTTCAATTTCGCCATGCAATATATGGGAAATTGAGGATCCTTTTCAAACACTCAAGAAAAGCGAGAGATTAACACCAATTAGTAAGGAGACAAAATAAATTTAATTCTTGTTTCAATTGATTTTCTTTCTTCTGTGCACAACATTTACTAAAATGTATACAACAACAAAGTTTCCCTTGAAAAAATAAGCATGGTTTTGCAAGACCAAACAAATAAAGGGCTATTTCCTTTCAGCTTTTAGGGTTTATTCTTGGCTTGTGCTGCTTCTCGGTACTTAGTCGCATATCTATGAAACAAGGCAAGTGCATTGCTAGTGACTTGCGCAACGTTCAACACCTTCCCTCTTATTGCAGCCTTCATCTTACTCATCCTATGAGCTGGGAAGTAATCCACACAAGTGCTCGCATCAGTAAGAGCCGTACTAACCCATGTCTCAACGTTGCTCATGTGCCACAAGACACCATCTCTGATCATAGTGCTTGGGATCTTATTTAACCTTTCAAGCTCTTTTATTGAAAGGCCAAGCTGGTACACACTATCATTGATCTGCTTCAAGCAATCTTGCAGAACAAAATAGTCTCTGCTACGATTATTATTACGATTCTTGAGTGCCTTGAATTGTTTGGCCACTTGCATCAAGTAATCTCTGGTGTATAGTGCTCGTGAGAGACTCACAGATAAGGCCACATGAGCTAACTCTTGCGGGCTTTGGATTTTTGAATTGGAATATTTGTATAAGCAACGAAGGCATAGATTTGGATACAATGTGGTTTGACAAGAACCTTTTATGTAAGCAACGGTTTGAGGCTTATATCGATGAGGCCTTTTGAAGGATGGTTCAGCTGTTGCATGATGAATTGAGAAGAGAGATATGAGGATCATCATCACTAGCAATGTTAGATTGATGAGTTGTGCCATATTTCTTCGGTGAAAATTGAAGGGGAGAGAGAATTTGAAAGCTCAAATGAAGTTTGTTGTTGGAGAAAATGGCAAGGGGCTACGGTGCTTAAATAGATTATCAGATTTGGTACACATCAGCTAGACGCCTAGACCGTAGACCAAATGATCTCATATGGATGGTCGAGATTTTATAGTCTTATTTTTATATTTTTACAATAAAATAATATTTTTATACATACAAACTGATCAGATTGATATTTTATACTCCATCCATTCCTTACTATAAAAGATACTTTAGAAACTTTTTCAGTTCAAAATGTAAGGGGCAATGTAATGTTATTCAATAGTTATTTATTTTTATCCCTGTTTCTTTTACTCTCCCCAGTCTTGTTTTGAAGTTACTTATAACTACCTTACCAAATTAATGAGTTAATTAAATTATTGATCTTGTCCAAAATAAGAAATTTCCAAATTTACCATTTTTAAATATAGCATCTTTAAAAACATTTTTCTCTCATGCAATAACATTTTGTTCTCTAGTCGTAAAAAATTGTAAGACGGTAAAATTAGAATAAGGTAATTAATGATCCACATTTTTATGAAAAATAATTTATAAAAAGAATCATGAATGTAACTTATATATAGGACTAGGGGGAGTAATATAATATGTTTTCTAGAGAATTGTAAAAAAGAAGTGGATGTAACTACTTTTTCAGCAACGGAAAAACTAATTAATATTTAGATGTATTTTTTTAAAAACTTTCAAGAATGTAACAACACTTTTTTAATGTCAATGAAAATGTTGAAAACATTAATAAGAACCGGAGGAATATATTATACTTCATCTTACATAAAAGGTTATTGAAATGAATAAAAATGAAACATTTTGCACCGTCCAAATATCTTAGTGGGCACATCCTGAGTATCTCATTTAATTTTAAGATATTCAAGAGTAGGAGGTTTCTTCGACATGTTCCTTTTTGTCTTCTAAGGAATATTTTAGAGGCAACATGAAGCGGAAGTTGCGCGACGATGGAACCAATTACATATAGGCGATGAAATTAAGTGTTTATTATGTAACTAGTCGGTCAGAAACTAGTGGTACACCATTTGCATAAATCTGAAGCAAGGATTAAATTACATCGATTAAGATTAATTAAATAGGTCGCAATGATTATAATAAGTTAATAACTATGTATCCATTCTCTTATAAAGTTATGAATTCATGATTCAGATAAATAACCTGCACATGGTTAAGAAGAACAATGTTGATAATAATAGAACCATGTCAAAAGGGGGAAAAAAAATACTTAATATAGCACCTCATGTCATGTCACGTGAAGTCAATTGATATAATAAAGAGGTTCAACGTTTTGTTACGCGTTTAAGGCCAAGGAAAATGAAATTAAATGAAGCTTAGAATGGTATAAGTTTGTGGAAGTCGAATCATTTAGGCCTAAATTTTTTGTTGTTTTGTCTTTTTGACTTATCCAATATTATTTGATTAATTCAGATTTGGGCATTATAGAAACATAGAGTGACTCATCATCATAATTTTTTATTAAAAAAATTAATCATTTGTTCTCTATAATTACAACTAATTTGTTAAAACTTAGCCTCTAAACTTTAACTAGATGCAATTTAGTTTCTATAGTTTTAATTCAGTTGTAATTCAGTTTTTAAATTTTGACCCGTGCAATTTAGTTCTTATAATTTTATTTAACAATTTAAAATATTCATTCCTAATTTTAGAAAATATAATACTAAGTACTAGATGCAACTACTAATGATTTAAATTTCTAAAACTATTGCATAGGAATTGATCTAGGAGTTATACTAGATTAAAGTTTAGGAACTAAGCTTCAACGAATATATATATATATATATATATAATAAAGAATGAGATGTACAGAGTTAAAATTTTATTTACAATAAAGGTATGAACTGTTGACCTTGCTTAATAGTTATCACAACTTCTTCACTCAATCAAAATATTATTGTTAATGAACGATGTCGAGTTTAATGTAGTGATTTAATTTGCTGATATTTATATGCTGAATGAAAGCCCAACATGGAGATTATATGCTGAATGAAAACCCAACATGAATACTCCTCTTCCTTCCCATCCTCTTCCATTCTTTTTCTTTTATAACCATGGGATAAAGATTTGAATGGTTTAGATAAAATAATACCTTAGATCTTGAACTTGTTTGTTTGTAAAAAGTGTTCCCTCAACTTATCAAAAAAATACAATTTGATCCCTGCTGTTTACTAATTAAAAGTTAAATTTAACCTTTAGTTGATAAGATAATGACAGAAAAAACTCAAAAATTACAGAAAATGACCAAAAAATTACAATAAAAGCTAGGATCCAAAAAAATCACAATGCTTGTAGTATAATTTGAGCAATTGATTGACGAGGCATAATGTTACTGCTAAATAAATCATGCTTCGATGATTTCAGAGACCCCAATTATTAGGATATCCATAAGACTACATATCGTTGTGGGCAGATATTTTTGCGAACGGAAAATAGGATTAATTAAGTTGCCAACATAGGGATGATAAAATATAACAATAACAACAATAACAAGCCTTATCCCACTATATGAGATCAGTTACATGGACATATATGGCGCCATTATGCTCTATCATTTATTGAACTTTTAGAAATATTGTTAATTAAGAGATAACATAATTTTGTGTTAATTAAGGGATGATAACATAAAAATATAAAATTAATTTTCTTTGTTTTTAGAATGAAAGGGCAACTTTATCTCCTAATGTAATTGAAGAGATTAGGAGAGAGTTGTTATACGAGATTGGAAATTCTTTTATGAGCTTGTATTCAAAGAAGCCAACGACTACTATACTGACTAGCTTATGCGATATGCCCACAATATATATACCATGTTTGAGGGCCCTTTTATTATGATAGAAATGAGAGGAATGAAGATGAAAATAGAAATAAAACTGGGGAAAATAGTTGTTTGGTACCAACAAATTGGAAAATTTTTGGATTCCAATTGGTGGAATTGGCTTCCATGCTAGGACCCAAAGATTTATTTCAATGTCTAGAATTTCACATTATTCCAACACATTTTTTTGCATTTTAATATGTTTTGATTTGACACAGTTTTACGTATTTTAAATACTCAAATTAGGGAAAGTGCATATTGTTTCAGACATTCACACCATGACTTTATTTTGGTATTTTTCGCACTAATTTCATGTTTGGTTCGAGGTTTGTGTTGGAGGTCATTCTGGTCATTAGGTGAATATTTTGGAAGGTATTAAGATCAAGTAATCAGCTGCAAAAGTGTACAATCAGGATTGTGTCTAATAAAAAGATACATATATGAACAATAAAAAAAAATTATGGAAATTGAATGTAGCTTTTTCATGCTTCATGCATATCCCAACAGCACGAATATTCGGGTTCAGTAATTAAGAGATTGTAGAAGTTTTAGGTGAGTTCAATGGAGACGGCAAAATTTTCCTTTATGTCTAGAGATTTTGATTTTTAACTTTACTCTCTATTCTTTTTTTTTTTTGGTGGGTCTTTGTTGTTTGATGTTGGCCTTTAATTTGATTCTTTTTTAAAATGCAAAGTTGATCAAGTCATGGAGAGGTTCAACTTTAACAAGAAACAAGTTGACTTATAGTAAAACAACACAAGTCTCAGTTAACATAATGATGCAAACTCATCAGGATGTAATATTTAAATAATGCAAGATATAATATATTATTAAATATTGGTGTTGTATATTATTACACAAGATGCACTACTATTAAAAACAAAAAACTTATTTGACAGTTACTTTTGTCTTTATTTGATGAGTTTTATAGCAATAGCATTTGAACACGTCCCAGCAGTTTAGTGTAAAGCAATATATGAATCACAAATCAACATTTTGTTATGCTCAGTTATTAGAGTGGTCATTTTGTTATATCAAGTTGTCAATAAATATTGTAGTATTTAATTGTACTGGAAGGAGATAATTGTAATTGACTTGGGATATTTTGCCGCTTTTGTGTAATTACTGATATTTGCAGGAATATTATTCTGCCTCACTGTCCCACTTGCAACAATAAAAATTTAGTCCTATGAATCATAATTGTGATATCTGAAATCTTCATAGCTTGATTTATCGGCAATATATATATTTATATATTATATCTTGCCAACCAATTGCTCAAATCCACAAACATGTGATTATCTATCTTAGGTTTTCACTTTTCTGATGAACAAAGACACGTTCAAATCGCCGAATTATCTCCTTGTCGGGCTTACAATCAGCATGCAAATCATCATCAACAATTTCTGTAATGAAACTATGCCAAGCAAATCCTTGCTTAATTTAGAACTTATAATATATATATACTTGAATATGAATTAGTCAATAACACAGTTGGGTATGAAATACACACACCTAAATCATTCATCTTCACACGCTTAATTTCCATTCTAAGGTTCTTTTTAATGATTTATTTTTTCTTCATCATAACTTTGGCCCTCAAACGCGTAAGCATTGAAACCCCCCCCCCCCTCTCTTTTTTTTTTTTTTTCATTCCATCACCTAGTATCTTAGGAAACTGCATATCCTATGACTTAAACTTGAGACTTCAAGTAAACTAATTCAATCTCCCCAACTAATTGAACCAAACATCCTTGGTTAAGATGCTTTAATTTTAGGGCTTAATCAAGTAAAGTTTTTTCTTTGACATGAATCTACTACATGATATCAGAGCATGACCTTTCTTAAAATCGACCATGCGTTTTGAAAAGTAATTAAAGTTTGTAAGGATAATTGTTGATAAAAAGAAAGAGAACTGAATTTTGCACATACTTTATATGTGTCTGTATATATATATATATATATAAATTTTGTACACTAGTTCTTTTAGAAATCTTAGTTTCTCTTGAAAACTTTCGAACGGTTTCTTTGATTTCTTTCATATCTATTGGTCACTTGCATTATTCTCTAATAATTTATAGGCTGAAGTATATTTTTAGT